TAAAAGTCGTTATTCCCTTTCGAGGCCTAGCATTCGCGAATTAAAAGAGACCGAGGAGACCCCACACCTGAGGCCTGATAGTGGCACCGATGACTTATTTGAAGATGCAACCGGAGAGGGCAATGACCAGGACGAAAAAGGCAGTTCGAATATTACAGATCATGCAGAGAGAAACTCCTCGTCACCGCCTTCACCGAGTGTATCGGCTAGAGCACTGCGTGCTTATATTCGAGCCAAGAAAAAGGAATTGTAATTATTTTCTTTTTTCTGTGTAATAGGAAAGAATCGGAATTAATGTACAATAACATAACATCCTTTTGTTGGGTGATAGAGTTAGATGTTTTTATTAAATGTTATGTCACTTAGTCATTTAAAGGGGGAATGTGTAGGGTATATTATAGTTATTTTTGTTATTGGGTATGTAGGTAGTTGGTATCAATAAAGCTTCCAGTTCGCTGTTCAACTCTGCCTTTTATTGACGTTACACTAACAACTATCATGACAGAAAAAACCTAATGCGACAGTTAATTTATATTATAACTACCAGTTTGCTACTGTTCTTTTCTAATAAATTCTTTAAACTTGGTAATTGAGAGACTTTTAATATTTTCTGATACTTAGTTGTTTTAATAACAGCCTGTGTATATTGGTTGTTGTTGACATGACTATGCGTCCACTTTTTGACGAAATCTTGAGACAGTAATACTACTAAAATATGTAGACATACGCCTACATATTTTAGTACATACATCATCTGATGTGCTGACTAAATATCCTCAGGATCATGTGGATATTGACGGTCGTATGCGCATACGTCTTTATGGCACATGAGATCTGACCCAATAAGCAATAAAATTGCTCTTATGTCTACTATACGGCCTAAAAATAATTTCAGACTGTCTAGCTTATGAAAAATGATATTTTGCAATTTATTGAAAAGAGTTGACGTTCTAAACCACAAGGCTCCGGATGTTAGCACCAAGACGAGAACTTTCAACCAGGCTGCCAAGTCCTACAAAAATCCTTACGGAAAGCTAGTCATCTGGCACTAGAGCTTTTTGGTCTCTCGCCACAGCGGTGGAGACAAACTTCTGTCGGCCTACACTGCCTCCGCTGGTAAAACCGGATGGCATACAGGTAAAGAGAAAGCCGACTTGTTCGCATCTCTCTTTGCCTACAATCCACGTCTGGACAGTGGCAACACATTCCACCTAAATTACCTCACTGCGAGACCTCTTTATCCGAGGTCCGTATCACAAATAAGGAGGTTCTTAAAACCTAGCGGTGCCTAGACGTGAATAAAGCTAGTGGACCAGATGGTATACCAGCTATAGTTTTAAAGGCTTGTACACCTGAGTTGTCTCTTGTGCTGATACGCTTGTTCCGATTCTCATTTAGTACTGGAATAGTGCCAAAATCCTGGAAGCTGGCCAATGTGCAGCCTATTCCAAAAAAAGGCAGCCGTGCCGACCCTGCCAGTTATAGGCCAATCTCAATTACCTCCATACTCTGCAAGATTATGGAACGTATATTGAACACCCGCTTAATGGCATATCTAGAACAGAATGACCTCCTTAGTGACCGCCAATACGGGTTTCGCCGAAATCGGTCAGCTGGGGACCTTCTAGCGTATGCCACATACGTATGGGCCGAGGCACTCGAGAACAGTGGAGAAGCACTTGCTGTTTCCCTTGATGTCTCGAATGCTTTTGACAGATTTTGACACACTAGCCTTTTGGGTAAACTTTCAGCGTACAGTTTATCTCCTGGTCTGCTTAATTGAGTAAAAGACTTTCTGAGTGAACGGTCTCTCCGGGTCGTCGTCGATGGCTGCTCATCCGATCCTGTTACGACTAACGCCGGCGTTCCTCAAGGGTCCGTTCTCTCCGCAACTCTCTTCCTGCTTCATATTAATGATCTGCTTATGCCCGGTATCTATGGGTATGTAGACAATAGCACAGTTGTGCAGAGATACCAACCAAGTCCTCAGGCCAGTCGGGCTCAAATCTAGTCCGAAAGAGAAACTATGGTAGAGCGTGTGAATCTCACACTACAGGCAGTCTCCGAATGGGGCGATGCCAATCTTGTGAAATTCAACGCCACCAAAACACAAGCGTGTCTCTTCACTGCAAAAAGGAGCCAGCTCACCTTGGCTCCTTCTTTCCGAAATGTATCACTGGAGTACACCGACCGCCTTCAGTTGTTGGTGGTTGAGATATCCTCAAATATGAAATTTGGGCGGTTCATTGAGTTCAAAGCCAAAGCAGCTGCAAGGATGCTAGGATTCCTTGCAAAGGTACGGCGATACTTCACGCCGGGACAGCTGCTTACTTTATATAAAGCGCAAGCCCGGTAAACTAAGGTTCTGGTATTTGAAAGGGACGAAGAGAGAACGAAGTGTGAAATATGGGTAAATCAGGAATGTCTAGAACAAGTAAATGAAATTGTTTACTTGGGGAGTGCTTTTAGCCGGGATGGAAGATGTGATTTAGATGTGGACAGGCGTGTCGCTGCCGGGAACAAAGTCAATGGTGCCCTGACTGCGTTAGTCAAAAGGCAAGGCGTAGTGAAGAGTGCACGCCTTGCAATACATAACGCAGTGTTGGTACCGACTTTGTTATATGGCAGCGAAACCTGGGTATGCCAGAAGAAGCATAAAAGCAAGTTGAATGCAGTGGAGATGCGATCTCTTCGTAAAATGTGCGGCGTTGCCATGGCCGACCGAAAGCGAAACGAAGAGATTCGCAATATGGCAGGTTTGAAAGATGACCTTATCACAAAAATTGATAAGGGCGTGCTTCGGTGGTTTGGGCACGTTGAGCGAATGAGTGAAGACCGAATGGTGAAGAAAATATATAGCGCGAAAGTTAATATTAAAAGGTGTCGAGGTAGACCGAGACTAACTTTCGAAGACCATGTGAGCAAATTGCTCGAAGAGGGTAGGGTCAAGAGTACTCGGATACCTAGACGTGCATGTATGAAGAAGATAATGAATCTGAAAGAAGCGAAAGAGGTATGTAAGGATCGTGACACTTGGCGATCTGTTCTCTCTGGCTACCCCGTCAGGGATTGTGCGTGAAGATAAGTAGTAAGTCCGGTCATGCATGGAGTATTGCTGCCATATATGGGCTGGTGCTGCAAAATGCCACCTTTGGACTTAATGGAAGGACGTGCTAAGAGGCTTATTGGTGACCCGAATTTGGTTAAAACCAATCTTACCAGTCTCAAATACAGGCGCAAAGTAGCCAACCTTTCGGATTTCTACAGGATGTATTACGGAGAGTGTGCCCAGGAATTGCATAATTTAATTCCTCCCTCTCCCTTCCACCATTGGACAACCAGACCTTTGGCCAGTCTTCACCCCTTCATTGTTGACTTACCACACATTCGAACCAAATGGTTTGCTACATCATTCACCATGCATTTTTTTTTATAGGAGAGCGGGCAAACGAGCATGCGGCTCACCTGATGGTAAGTGACTACCGCCGCCCATGAACAACTGCAACACCAGGGAGGGAATGGCAGATGCGTTTCCGGCCTTTTAAAATGGAGTACGCTCTTTTCTTGAAGGTTCTTTTCTTGCATACAGCAAAGGTGTGTAATAAGTTGCCAGCATCTGTTTCCATCTGAGTATAATGTGGGTGTCTTCAAGGCAAGAGTGAATAGGCTTTTGTTAAGTCAGTGCGCCTCACCATCTTAGGCTACATCACCAGTTACCATCAGGTGGGATTGTAGTTAAGCGCTGGCTTAGAATAATATTAAAAAAAAAGAATCCGATGGCATTAAAAACAACTAATAGCATTTTTACATATATACGCCCCTATGGTTTGTGACCCGTGACTTGTATGCTGTTTGAACAAGTCACTGGCTATTGACATGAACAACAAACCCAATTGAGCAGCAGGCTTAACGTTGCCATCTGTACTTTATTTCATGTCATAAAGCAATTTTAAAAATATTTACTACTCATGTGATGATTAACACTATAAATCTATATGGCTTTCTATAATACTGATTATGCCTCACCTTTATTTTCCAAAATATCACTTATATGGTAATATTAAGGAAAGCTATAGAGCAGTGTCCATTTTAACATGCATTAAAATGGTTAGATATGTTGTTATTTAGTTTCCCTGTATCTCTGACATAATAAAGTGAAATAACCGCAGACATCATCCGTGTTGGAGAGGATGAATAAGGCTATAGGAAGAATTTCACTGAGCCCAGCCTCTGAGCTATACCACAGTTTAACATATAAAGCAGTTGGTAGTTTGCGTTCAGCTTTGGCTAAAAATAAACCCCAACACTGGCAATCATACAAGCTTACAACTCAGAAGCTATGGAGTCTTCAAATTAAAATAAACAATTAATATTTAAATGAATTGACTGAAATATCACCGACCGAATATGCTATGTAGTGGCAGTGTACAAGCACCCACTTCCCTATATCATTCCTTAAGTGTCGTTAGAGGCAATAAGGATAATGAAACGGAAGGTGGGCAGCAACATCTTCCTGATAACAATTCAAAATAATAAAATTGCAGTTCCAGCCCTCCTGTTAAGTGTAGCAACTGTGCCAATTTTTTTTTATAGAATAAGCGTGACAAACGAGCACACAGTATACCTGAGGGTAAGTATGCTGTGGCTCATAGACATTTATCCTCGATTAAGAATCAAACTGCAGATGCATTGTCACCTCTGAGAACTAAGATGGTATACCTTGATTACAGTAAAAAGGGTCTCCAGTTCTCTACACTTACCATACGAAACACAGCAGCAAGCTGCTATTTTACACTGGTATTCTATGAGAGTATGGTCCTACCCCGGTCTAGTCAACCTGATACAGCCATAATATAATGATACAACCATAATATACATGAAATGTTGCTCTACTACATTTAAAATATAAGTAAAGCTATAAGGCAAGAGCTATATGTTCATCAATAGACTTATGATAGGCTGTAATGATGGTGGATGATGATGACAATTTTTAAACTTACCCATATAGACCGAAAGATAATATAGGATCTAATTTTAATGATTGTCCTGCCACTAGCTGTGATGCTATACTTCCAGCAGAGCCAACCACACAGCTGTGAACAAAATTTTATTATACATTTTTTAAATTTTCAATCAACTCTAACTGAAAACAAAAGTCAAGTAAATAAATAAATCATAAGCAAAAGATCTCAAATTACTAGCTCAATTCATTAATTATAGACATTACATATATTAGTTATAAATATAAATTAATAGTTTTTGGAATATATATTAATAAGTACTGGAATAACATTAATACTAATTAACCCATAAATTATTGGGATACAAAATGTTTTGTTACATTTTTGAAACATTTCGAAGTAGTATTAAGCCATAATCAAGAATATGCAATAATTGTAATTTAATTATTGCAGATCACAAGAGCTCCTATTGCAGGGCATAACACACTAATATAATTTTATTAGACTTAGATCTTTGATATATATAAATGTAATATTTAATGGCAGTTTGGACTTTGGTCACTAAAAGTAAGGAAGTACACAGAATTATGAGAGACATTTCTATTACATTTTTTGTGCAAAATTAAAAAATATCAATGAATATTACCTAAACATACCTTGTTATTGCTTTTGTTTTTATGGGATGCAAGTACAAGTTCTGCAAATACGCTGCTACAAGATTCATTATGGGTTTCGACAGAGCCATTCCGCACTTGTTTCCTTATTATCACTAGTCAAGTAATTAAACTAATTTATGCAGCTATTTCGGTACTCCCTAAGTATCTTCTTAGATAAATATGAAATAACAAAAATATAAGATAAATGCAAATTGATAACTGTCTGTTATCAGGTTATCACTCAGCAGTGACGTACTCTACCCTAGACAAGACTTGGGCAAAAAATATCGATATATCGATATTTATTTTAGAGTATCGAATTCGTATCAATTTCGATATATTTTAAAACGTTGTATAGTTTTTTCGTCATCCAACCGTCAGTAAATAAAATTTTTGACCTCATCTTTACATCATGCAAATGATGACGATATATCGATATATTTTTTTCACTTGCCCATCCCTACCCTACCCTACTCTAGACTAGGTCTAGTCATTAAAATTTATAATTATGTATTTGAATTTAGCTGACTTCACTCCGTCCACAACAGCTATCTTCATATTGTAGTTCTTTAGACGCCAGCGCTATTGTGGTAGGTTTGGAACCTCCATTTGCAGTATATAGTTGGACACTTTTTCAACTTTCGCCCCATATAAGATGGTTCTCCTTCTACTCTATCCATGTCTTATCAGTAAAAACAGTTTTTTTTTTAGTTCAGGTAATTCGATAATAACAATTATTTTTATTACCATATCAAAGTCAGAATGTATTTATTTCTTACATGAAATAGTTAAAGTTCCCAATGTTTCATATCTATACTTTTTAAAAACAATAGTCTGTTAGTCTGTCAAGTCTACTGGAATCCAAGAGGTTCCGCTCATCACTACCGATATTGCCAGCAATCACAAACTATATAGAAACATGCCAGCAATTGAAAAAAGGTGCTCACAAGAAACGTTACTCATATACATCATGGCTATTCAGTGAAGGTCGTGATAAATAGAGTATTTTGTTCCGATTGTTCTTGCCAGTACAGTTTAGGAGTGGTATAGGATCATACATCAGGTGCACAACTGCCTGCGATAATTAGTGTTTAAATTATTCGTTTCAGCCTTGACTTTTCAGTGCAAGTGCAATACTGTGCTATATATACACAATAATAAGTATTTATTTCGCTAATCACAGTATAATATTACGACACAGTTTGCTTATATAAACAAACGAGATGTTACCCGCGACTTAGCCCGCGTGTAATTTAGGGTTTTAATTATGTTGTGCGGAACCCTAATTCTTTTTCTAAAATATAAGTAGCCTAAGTTACTTCTTACAACATCAGTTATCTGCTAGTGAAAGTCCCGTCGAAATAGGTCCAGCCGTTTCGAAGATTAGCCGGAACAAACAGACAGACAAACAGAGGGACAGACAGACAAAAATTTAAAAAATTGTGCTTTTGTTATAAGTACCGTATATACTCATATATGTATTTAGTAAATAGCTGTTATATTGACATTACAAACAGACACTTCAATTCTATTTATTTGTATAGATTAGTGGCGCAATATCAAATATCAATCAACAAATATAAAGAGTCATAGACTAGAAACGTAAATTTTTTATTAAATGGAGGCGAAGGAAACTAAGTACACTGCCATATCGCGAGTTTTTGAGTAATTAACCCTTTAACCGACAACACCGTAATATCAGGGATATATTCAACTGAATGTAAATAATTTTATGATATTTACCATAAAAAAAGTCGAATGGCGATACTCAAGGGTGAAATACCGATACAGTATTGCATGTCGATTTAAAAAATCGATCTTTTGGTCCTGACTAATCGATTAATCAATCTCAGATCACCATCGCCAGGGGGGGGTACAGTTCCATAGTAATGCATTTGGTCATAGAAAGTAACGCCATCAAGTGTATGATACGGGTCATAATTTCCTCAGTTTAGTTAGTTTAATACTCACTAGATGGCTTTAATATCTTTGTCACCTGTCCATTAAAATTAGTTTTACTTATCTTATAAATTATAAACTATATATTTTGTAATATGTATGCATGACAAATAAAAGTTGTTTAATCCATGATTTACAAAGTACATATAAATTATACGTTCCGATTATATTTATGTTCGATTGAAATGATTAGTCTGTACTACAAGCTCTGTAGCCGAAAATATAGATGTATCTGTATCTGCTGTTGCGAAAAAAAGAACCTAAATTATTACATATTTTTATGACTTTACCATAGTTCAGAATAAGTCTTAGAGTATTCAACTGACAGGAGACGCCATGCGCATAAAGTTCCAAAAAAAAGTCAGTCACTTCTAGCGGGAGGCGAGGTAACGAAGACTAAGCAAATCGTAAACATTGGGCCACGTCATTACGCACGCAGCATAATATGAGCACACGATTAAGCAAAACACACACAACCTTGAAAATCTCTCATAAATGTCTCGTGTTATACACAGTGCTTAAGCATAAGCAACTAGTGCGAGGGCCTTGTCGATATGGATATGTCGATGAAATTTTATGCAAGTTACATTAGCAAATTAAATAAAATAAAAATGAACAAATTGTTTAATGTGTAATATTTCATTCAAAGTAAATTAAAAAAATACATAAGGTACAAAATAATAATACAAAGTTACCAAAATTAAAACATATTGAAAAAGTATTATATTATATTTTTACTGGGTTTTAAAGTGAATAAATTTGGTATATATGTGACGAATACACTTTTTGGGATCACTCTTTTTTTGCGAGGTAGCTAATTCTAGTGCTCGCATATTTTCCATCACCAAGTTTGCCAGTTTAATGTTATGTGGAACGTAATCATTATCGAAATAATGTTCCTGTATGCTTAAAAATATATAATATGCCTAGTCTATGAAATGTTTTTACCATTTTTTAATGTCATAATCAACCGGAAAGAATATCTGTATAGGGGTTTTAAACGGTCTAATTTTACAGATTTTACCCAACCTATAGAGTTAAACCGTTTTAAGGCTTAGGGTTGAACTACATCTGGCAGCACGGAATCGCACTTTCCTGTGCTTCTATCCTTTTTGGTCACTCAGAAACGTTATTTACTAGAGCGAGAAAGAGAGCGGGAGTGTATAGTTCCACCCTCAAAAGTCAAAATCCATACTAATATAATATTATAAATGTGAAAGTGTGTTTTCTTTTGTTTATTTGTTTTTGTCCTTCCTTTACACAGCAACGGAATGGAGCAATTAAAAAAACCGGCCAAGTGCGAGTCGAACTCACGCACCGAGGGTTCCGAACAAATCCGTAGGTATATAAGTTTAAAATTATTCAAAATATTTTTATTATATGATATAACTAAAAATTTATGGTTTTCGCAATTTTTCCTTTATCTGTATATAATACGTTGCTTCGTACCAAATTTTAAGATTCTGAGTTCACGGGAAGTAACCTGTAGGTTTTGATTCCCTTGCGAATGTCGAATTTGTGGCATAAACGGCTGTATCTTTTGATTGCGTTAGCTTAGAAGTTTGATTTTTTCACAGCTCCAAGGGACAGTAGACTTGAGTATTTAACACGAATTTCAGCTTGATACCTCCACGCGTTCCTGAGAAAAAGGCTCTTGACAGACAGACAGACAGACGGACAACAAAGTGATCCTTTAAGGTTCCGTTTTTTCCTTTTGAGGAAAAAACGGAACTACAGAACCCTATAAATTAAACATTTGCTATCTCTTGGCCGATGTTTACGCTTAACCAAACATACTTTTTTTCGTCATTTTACTTAGGATTGAAAAATAACTAATGTCTTTGTAAAAAGCGGTAATATTTTGTGTTCTACAGTACAAAAGTGAAGTACTCTGTATATATTTAATTATAATAATAGAGTTTATTTGTTTGTCTTTATTTATTTATTTAAGCGCTAATAATTCATGTCTTATCTGAAAACAACAATTTGGTTGACACCATCTAAGACGATAAACTTGTAAATAACATTTTAAAATGAATAAATATCGTTCAGTAAACCTTCCATTTCGATTTGTTACATGTTTTAAATTTTATCCTTCATAATGTAAAATAAACCTGTAGCAAAATAATAAACTTACTTCTAATAATTTCAAAGTCGGTACAGCAGTTTCATTTAGTTTCCTTTTATTATTTGATTGGATTACGAAAACCGATTTATTGGTCAAAATGCTCGGAACAAATAGTGCTTGTTCGTTTAGGTACCCAGGTTATATGATTGCCCCATGCTTTTATCCAAACTTGGCGCCTGTAAGAATCTTTTGGAAAACTGTAAAACCTTGGTATTATATATCAAGGTATTACTTATAGTCAAATAAAAACATCGGCACAAAATATTACAGTGAACATCACTATTATTGTCTTGATGATACCATTTTATATACTAGAAAATTCGCCTTCTTTTCGTTTCATAACGTAACGTAATGAAATGAAAATATCTATTTCAAATGTTTTATATACAATAAAACAATTTAAATTGATGTTTTCATTTCGTTAAAAAGAATTAAAGATTATTAATGTTGTTTGAAATAATATAGTTTTGCAAATAGATCACAATAATATTGATGAATTTAAGACTATTCAATAACATGATTTTATCCTGTGTAATTAGAACAAAGAGAAACGACATTTGTCTACAATTAAGCAAAATTTAATTATGTCCTACTGGTGCAAAAGTCCTTAATACACTATTAATACTTTAAGTTGGCAACACTACCAGCTCAGCTATATTAATCAGAATTTTCGTGATTTAATGCTTATATTAATTATTGAAATCAAAATAAATACTTAAAGATGAAAGGTAACGCCGTCTTTCTGTAAATTTGAGGTCTGTGATCTTTTTTTACAAGAAAACACACTGCAACTCGGCATTTTTCTGGAGGTCAACTCACGCTTACGACTACTTGGTAACCGACGCCGTACGCGGCGCAACTAGTTTTATATAACGTGAATGATCCGCGCTCTCGTACTTTTGACAGCGGGGAACGCTCTCCAATGTCTTCTCCTGTTAGTTTAATACTCTAAGGACTAAGTATGACTGGCAGTAATCTTCATAGAGAAAATACTGGACATGG